CCTCCTCCTCCTCCTCCCCCCAATCTTTGTCTCCCCAAATTACAAAGTGGGGGTTTATTAACACGGTCCCCCCTCCTCCTCCTCCTCCCCCCCAATCTTTGTCTCCCCAAACTACAAAGTGGGGGTTTATTAACACGGTCCCCCTCCTCCCCCGTAGGCTTCAGAGGAGGCTTCAGAGGAGGGGGCGGCTTGGCGAAGGGAGAGCTAAGGTTTCAGTTCGCGGCCCGCAGAAGGACCACACAAAAGGCCCCCTCGTCGCTGACGGGCTATTACGCCGCGCTGTAATCTAGGGACCGAGTTAAGCAAATGTTATCTATTGGAAACGTAATGAAGCCCTGATGGACGCGGCCGGGTTTTCCCCAATGCCACACACGCCGTCGCTGCACCGGCCGTGGTTCGAGCCTCGGCATCTCTCCCTTCTCTTTTTTTCCAAGGAAGGGAAGGGACGCGCCACTCTTTTCTTTTCGGTTCGGCGGGTGTCTTTTTCTCCTCTCTCGCCTCCAAAGATGCCTTCCCCGTTCGTTTTTTTTTTAACCTTTGATCCTAGCTCAGGGATAGGCAACCTTGGCTCTTTTATGACTCGTGGACTTCAACTCCCAGAATTCCCGAGCCAGCTATGCTGGCTCGGGAATTCTGGGAGTTGAAGTCCACGAGTCATAAAAGAGCCAAGGTTGCCTACCCCTGTCCTAGCTCATCCCTGACTCTTTATTTTATCGCAAAAACCAAAGAAATAAAGGGGACAGGCCCACTTTCTTGTCAGTGAAGCCCTTCAGAAACGTGGCGGGCGCTTGTGTTCGCTGTGAGGAAAAAGTAGACTTCTCTGAAGGAGCCGCGCAGGCCCTCCTGATCCGCGAGGCCGCTGCTGAAGGGCTTTTGGCCTATAGAGCCTGGTTTGGTTTCTTGCGATCCAAGTCGCCACTTTGCGAGGAGTCGGCTTCCCAACCCGGATTTTTTTTCTTAAGGAACAAGAGACTTATTATTTATTCCAGGCGGGAATGATGGAGCAAAAAAAAAAAAAAAAAAAGCCGTTTATCTTATTTGCATTCCGACTATTTAGGACATTAATTGGTTAATATGAAGAAAGGGATTATAGTCTCCCCCCCCACCCTTCTAACTCCACGGCCTTTTTCTAAAGTTTCTAATGAATTTGGGCGGCAAGCGGGATGTTTCTTTCTTAGTCCTCCACCTGCCCGTCTTCCTCCCTCCCTCCCTCCCTTGGTGGTTCATAAATCTGCCGCCTCTTTTTTTGAG